GTAGGTTTATATATTATTGGTAGTGGGCTAGAAATTAATTCGAGTCTCACAAATCATAAGCGGCCTCTAGCAAGGCATTATGACTATCCAAAAATATATAAATGTCAATTAAATCTGACATAACCTTTTAATGATTAATTTGTGCTAACAATTCTCTTTTGTCAAACGATATCTTAATTGAGACAAGGTTAGGTCGTGTCATCCTTGTTATTCTCAATTAATATTTCTTGATTACCAAGTAAGATTAATCTTGATCAAATGACACCTCATTTGAGCATGGCCATGCTAATTAATCTTACTTGTCAAGGGGCCGAATAGATATCTTTCTCTCGATGTACAAGAGTGACAAAAACTATCTTGATAATTCACATACTACTACATGGTTCATAATATGTACAATCACCACCTTTATAATTACCTAGTTAAAGATAACATTTAATGGTGTTAATACATATTAATTCTCATGCTAGTAACCATGATTATCTCAAGTATAAGAATATAACACCTCATCATTATTGAGGACAACACTGATGACATATAACCTAGCAGTGTCCTCAAGTTGGGTCTGTCCAATGAACTTGTTCCCTAACAAGCATCTATGTTATTAACTTGATATCTCTATACCCATGACTAGTGGAATATAGTCATCAGTTAATCCACACACTGGTCTATTAATTATTAATGTCCCAAATTAATAATATTAGACCAGGGACAATTAGAATATTATGTTTATTTTAAAGTGTAGCATTCCACAATTAAGTCACATACTTAATTAGCTACTAAACGGAATATTCAGGTACTAAATATTAATAAAGAAAACTCACAATAATTAGCATAAAATGAGTTTGCAACTTTATTAATTAATGAGCATTAAATATTTATTGATAAATCATAAACTATGATTGTCCTAGGGCATATTTCCAACACAATCATAGCGGGACAGAGGGAGTAGCCCTTAGAGAAGCCATCATTAGCCACGTCAAGTAGGAACTGATGGCCGAGCGGGGTCCGATCCAAGAGCTGCACCCCATGACCCTGACGTTCTTTCTTCTTCCGGGCCCGCAGATCTTTCTAAAAAATGTCCCCTACGGCCCCTCGGCAATAACGCTGGGCAGAGAGCATGAAGCGTGCTGACTTCTCATACTCGGAGGTATCAAGTTGCCAGACAAGGGCGGTAGCCTTAGGCTGCGCAGGGGATCGGTGTTGGCAGCAGCTCCGTCCTCAGGGACCAAATGGCATGCAAGGATGAGGGTGATGCCCTGACTCTCAACCGCAACCAGTTTGCCAAGTGCCGCATCAAGAGCGGCCTGTAGCGGATCCTTCTCCTTGGCGGCTGCCTCTTCTCTCAGACGTGCCGCATCCTGGACCGCCTTCAAAGCATCACCAACCTTCTTCTTGGCTAGAAGAGCGTCCTATTTTTGGGAAGCTTCAGACTGCAGCAGACACATCCCAACCTACAGGAAAAAGGGGGACCCGTGAGGAGATGCACGACCATCGAGGAGTTAGCATAAAATCAATATAACAGCAAAACATATCTGAATGGTAACCGTCAAAGCACTGTTGACGCCCTCAGAGGAGGACCGGGGAGGCAGTTGCACCCCGGTTTGGAGGGCAATCTCCTTCCAAATCTCAGCGGCCAGGCGGCTGAGAGAAGACAGCGCGGCATCCTCGGCCGCAATACCGGAACTCAGGATGGTGTCTCTTCGTCCTCTTCTCCTAATCGCTCCCCCGCTTTGGGGAGGAGCAACTTTTAATGGCTCTGCATCATGTGCGGGCCCCGATTTGACTGCGAGGGCCTCAGAGCCCTGACCCATCACAACCGAAATCAGCTGAGATTGAGATGCAACAGAGGAGTTGGCCTCAGAGGATTGGGCGACTTTAGCCTTCTCCATGACCGCCTTCAACTTGGCGTTCTTGCTTTTCCTATTTACAAGGAGATGGTTGTGAATCATCTGTTCTTGTGTGGGGCGAAGACCTGAAACAAGAAAAGGTGCATGTTAGAACCGGGCAGTGTGAACCCCAAAGACACTTACCTTAAGAGCAGGACCGCCGACTGCCGACCGCCTGGGGTCTCGAGACGAGCATAAGGAAGAATTACTCTAGAGACGCGGACGGTACCTATTCCTGCGTTGGCAAACGCCTTGGGGGTAATATATCCTTCTAAGTCCTCAAGGCCGTCTAAAACAGCTTCCGACGAAAAAAATCGATGTAAAATTGGTGAAGGGGGAAGCGCAGCCCGACCTTGATAGAGTCCATGTGCACTATAATCATCCCCAAACGCCTCCTCAGCAGATCATCAGCGCCCCGAAGGCTGTAGACGAACGGTGGCGGAAGAAGGATTTTCAGTTCCTTAAGGGCCTTGGCCGAAAACTATTGGTCAATCCCAGCAACATTATGCAATGGCACTATATGACGAGGAACATCGATAGGAACACCTAGATAATAGGTCTGTAGGTCATCTCCATCGGTATCCTCTGACCCTGAATTGTAGCCCTCAGGATGATCCTCCTCATCCCCTCCTTGGGCTATGTTCTCCTGTGTGGCGTTCTCCAAGGGGACATTCATGTGAACGCCTCTGAGGCGGCATCCCCGTGAAGAACATTCTCCGGAACGACGTCCATCGCAACCACATCCTAGGTGGCAACATCCCCATTGAAACCATCTGCCACAATCGTTCCAGTGGTGAAAGACAGACCGAAACTACCAGAGGTGCTCGTTTTCCCCGACGAACGAGAATCCGAATTTGAGCCTGAGGACGTACTGGATCCGGAGGAAGAACTAGAGCTCGAAGATATCTCCATGGAAACCACCATCGGAAAAGAAGAAAGAAAAGGGGGAGAGCCAAAAGTTAAATTTACCTTACAACGTGGGAGAAGACGAGCCAGAAAGCAAAGGACACTAACAACAGAGCGGCGAGCAATTGAGAGCACAAGAGCAGAAGTTTGGAAACCCTAATCCCATCAAAGGACTTGGTATTTATAGGGGAGTACGCCGCCTCAAAGAACAAATAAGGTAATGACACGTGGCGAGGAGCGTACCCGGGAACACGTGTCACACGGAGGTCAACAGACGTCTCATGATGACTTTCCTCGGAAGTTGCACCGTTTCTGCAGTTGCCACCATCTAGGGTTTTGTGAACCGCCATCAACAAGCAACCATCACATCAGGTGCATCATCAAGGTTCACCTCTGCGGGGGTACTCATACTTCCTTATGTCCCGCGCACGCTCGGAACATCAGAAGTGAGGGACTTGTGTTAGGTTAATGGCCCAACCAAGGGTCGGCCCATTATCCCCTTAAGTGAAGCGCCTCAAGGCCTGTCGTCGGATGAACGTCTCCAAGCTCCAAAGCCCATCAGGGCCAGTCATCCAAGTAGCCGAGGCCCAATCAATGTACGTCTCATCAGGGAGACACTCGGTTCGAGGTCCTTACCATGGGAGCTATCCATTGCAATCCAATATCCACAGCTAGAAGACGTACGACCCCCACCTCTTGATAGAGTCATCAGGAGGAATGGACGCGGGGACGCTCGTCCCCAAGGCTTGGCGGGAAACCAAGATACTGGCGGAAAGCACATTTAATGCCGAAGATTTGGTGGTTGGGATCCTAGCTATCCACTGCCGTCCACGTCAGCACACTCACCTGCCCCTAGGCAGTATAAATAGTAGCATTCATTTCATTGTAAAGGGTTGACAACTTACACGCCTTAGCATTCTGGCATTCTAATAGCTCATAGCATTACTCTCAGTTCTTCCTTAGCGAGAGAGACGATCGGTCGTTGGCCAGGTAGCACTTGTGCATTGTAACAAACCCTTATTATCGTTTAATAAGATACAACCCATTGCTACAGACATATTAAGCCCGTCTTACTTGCTTGCATCTTATATTCCGCACACTCTTCCACTCGAAATCCTTGGGTTACGTGTTGGGCTTAAGGGTTGAAGGAATAAACCTCAACAATGCATATTTCAAAAGTATGATATTAAATTCACATACGAGTTAGATTATATACATGGGAGCAAAGAACATGATACACAATTGCATGTTTTTGATACTCAATAGAAGAAGTTTGATGTTCAATGAAAATGTCTTGATGTTCAACTAACAAAGCTTATTATTTTTATATCATTGCTCATTTGGTAAGTTATGTATACGCATTTGGTACTTGTGTTATACTCATTTTAAAATGTTATGTCAATGCATATTTCAAAAGTATCATATTACATTATATTGACGTAGGAATTGATTATAGATACTAGAGCACATACCATGATACTCAATTGCAAAGTTCCAAAGTTCAATAGAGGAAAGTTGATTCTCAATGGAAATTTCTTGATGCTCAATGAAATGTCTTGATTCATATTTCAAAAGTTTAATATTAAATTAGATTCATATATTGAAATCCATAGGAGTCTATAGATATAACTTAAAAAATTTATTACAAAATAAAAAATAAAAAAAAAGAAAGTGAATCAGAAGTTATGAAGCAGAAGTCGCGATGCTCAATAATACTCAACAAAATAGGTCTGATGCCCATTAAAAGTTTATTAATGCTCATTTAATAGAAACCAATTTTGATGCTCAACGAGAATCGTTATGCTAAACTAACAAACCTTACGATTTTCATATCAATGACATTTTGTAATTTACGTATGCTCATTTGGTTCTGACGTTATGCTTATTTTGTCATATCAATGCATATTTCAAAAGTATCATATTACATTAAATCCGCATATTGAAATTCATAGAGGTGTATTATAGATATAAATTAATAAGTTTTTATAAAAGGAAAAAAAGGAAAAAATTGAATTAGAAAATATGAAGCAAAGATTGTGATGCTCATTGTTAACCTCCCAATACTCAATAGAATATGTCAGATGCTCACTAAAAGTACAATAATATTCATTGGTGGAAGCCGTGATTTTTCGTTTAAATTACAAAAAAGACCGCTAACAAATTATGGGCTGTATGAGTTAATAGGCTCTCTTCGTCAGTTGGGCTGAATGTATCTACACTTTGATATAGCAGGTGGGGGCTGATGAAAATATTGGTTGACAACTACCAAACTTGTTGAAGTTGTAGCTTTCAAGGCTACAGCTTCCGTTTTTTATATGTCGGAAAGGCTACACCAATCACAAAATCTTTAATTTCAGTGTTCGCAAACGCGGCCTCAGTTCACAAAATCTTTCTACCCTTCAGCCTCGAATCATCATACCCAAGAGGTTGCCGGTCCCCATCACTCTCCCTTTAGGCGAACAGAGTTTAATGGATGAGGTAAGTGAAACAACAGCAAGTGGTGTGTGTAAAGCAAATAGAAATTTGGTGTTTGCCGTCAATGGGGAAAGGTTTGAGCTCCCAAGTGCCGACCCTTCCACTACTTTGCTTCATTTTTTGCGATCCCAGACCCGTTTCAAGAGCCCCAAACTTGGCTGTGGTGAAGGTGTAGTTTCTATCTGTGTATTGCTCAAACTGCAATTAAATTCAATCTCTCTCAAATATTCCAATACTTTAAGCACGAACTCATAAATTTCTTGGGTTTACCCATGATTTACCTTTTCTAAATTTACTGATGCAAGACTCAGTGATATGAGCAAGGAAGCCTTATATTATTTTTTTGGCAAAAGATAACATAATTCTTATTAATAACTAGAACCAAATACAAAGACACCATATTAAAGTTTGCATTGGGATGAGACTTAGAGTTGGAATCACGCTTAAGAGCAGCTCAACTCGTTAATCCCGCAAGGTGGTAGACTCCACTAACACCAATGCTGCACTTACTACTAAAATGAAAGTCAAAAGTAACTGAAGAGTGATGAAAAGACAAACAAAAATAAGAAAGACAATATCCAGTTTTTCCGGCCACTCGCAAGGAAAGAGCAGTTTGACCAGCCCCGCCAATGGTCTCCTTTCTCATCACGAAGATCCCCAATCACTAGCGGTGCTCTCCCGACAACACTGTCACCTGCAAGTGTTTTTTGAATCCGCACTATCAACATCCATGCTTGTTTGAACACTAACTTCGCTAACCAGGTCAATGACCTTGCTTTTCCTTGTTCTTATGTAATAGCCACTTCCATGCCCTTTGAGATTAGACCTTCCACCACATAGCTACCCCGATCAACCATAGTTTTGCTCGAGGAACCAAGATCTCCCCATCATCCCCTTTGTCAATTGACCTATTGTTGCTAGGAATCAACCACCTGTTTCCCGAGTGCACACCACTCCGCCTCATATAAGCACATAACCATGACCCATAAGACTTTTCACCAATCCAAGGACCACTGTGTGGATTCGAAGGGCAGAAACGGTCCGCATGGCCAAGTATCCCACACAGGAAACATAAATTTGTGAGTCTCTCATATCGAAAATCCGCCCATATCCAATTGCCACCCTCTTGTCATACTTGCAAGCGCCTAGTCAAAGCCACATTGATATTAATGATAACACTAATACACAAAACCAAACTTTGCTTTCCTCCAAGAGAGCATTCTTCAAATTGGTCAAAAGACCCTAACAGTAAATTGTGAAATTGTGAACCTGAACCCAAAAGTTTGCATGATCCAATGACACTTCAAGGGGCCTATCGATATGCTCCAATCGCATAATCACTTTGAGGTTTTGTTCAGAGGACCAATGCCCTTCCTCAATGACTCTATTAATATCTCCTTCATGGTAAAATTGGAGAAGAAACTTGGATTCACCTATCTCATTAATAGAGACTCCCTGAACCGGTGTCCAAACCATGACCATTGTTTCACGGAAAGAAATAACACGAATAGGTTTATTTGAAACCACTCTGGCCATAGTCGAAAAGCAAGCTCTCTCATCGGCCTCACTAGCACTCCCTGCCGGGTCCGCTTCAAGCACCAAGCCCATGTTCTCTTTCTCAGTTATGGATACCATACTATAATTCTTGACAATGATGTCCATGATGAACGATGTCACCGTAACAAGACAAATCTCAAAGAAAAGCAGCCATAAACAAGCTGTAAAAAACACAACCCAAAGAGAAAACACTACACAGCACACAAACAACACAAAACATAGTAACCGACGACAGAATCAAAACTCAAACCACTGTTCAGAAACGAACGAAGACAAACTCGGCCACAGTGATGTGCAGGACGAGGACAACGGGAAACATGCCAGGAAACAAACCAAACTGTATGCAAAAAAAGACGAAGCAATGAAAGACACGTCCTGGCGACGTAGAGTGCTCAAGATCAGTACTTCTCTGCTAGGGGAATAAGAAGTGAATTCAAGGGTTCATTTATTAAAGGAAGAATAGAAATCTCATGGGACTCAACTTCTTGTCTACTCTCCCCCCCGAACCTGAGAATTAGGATAAAAGGATTCGGTTTACAGAAAAGTGACATCCATGGATATATAAACAATGTGACTAGAAGGATGACACTTATACCCCTTTTTATTTGGTGCATATCCTATAAAAATACATTTAAGAGCCCTAGGGTCTAACTTATTTCGATGAGGACCATGAACATGAACAAATTCAGAACAACCAAAAACATGACCCTGAAGACTTGACATAGTGGGCACTGGGCATTAATGGAAAGAAATTATTTATAAAATGTATAGGGATAACACTAGATAAAACCCTAGATGGTAACCTATTGATTAATTAAGTAGCGGTCAACACAGCTTCTCCCCAATAAAACTCGGGAACATTCATCTGAAAGAGTAATGCTCTAGCGATTTCAAGAAGATGGTGGTTTTTCCGTTCAGCAACCCCGTTTTGTTGTGGGGTGTCAACACAAGTCAATTCATGAATAACACCATTTATTTTCAGAAAATCAGAAAAGTTCAAATTTACATATTCTTTCCCATTGTCTGACCGTAACCGTTTAATAGGTTTTCCAAATTGGGTTTGAACCATGTGGAAAAAATTAACGAATAATTGAAACACCTCTGATTTATCTTTCATAACAAAAACCCACATAATCCTTGAATAGTCGTCAATAAAAGTGACAAACCATTTTGCACCAGAAATATTTGAAACGGACGAAGGTCCCCAAACATCAGAATGAATCAAATCAAAAGGTTGGACACTTTTATTATTACTAGGGAAAAAAGTTAAACGGTGATGCTTGGAAAATTGACATACATCACAGTGAAAAGACTTAACTGACAATTTTGTAAGTAAATGGGGAAACATGGCCCGAACAACTCTAAAGGGAGGATGCCTAAGACGTTTGTGATGGAACCATATTTGAGAGGAATTCCAAGATTCTGAACTCGGTTGATGACGAATACTTTTCTTATACGGCAGAGAGTATAACTCGTCCCGTTTCTTAGCAATTCCAATCGTCTTCCCCGTGACAAGATCCTGAAAAACACAATGGGAAAGAAAGAAAGTTACTGTGCAGTTTAAATCTTGGTAAGTTTTTGGATAGACAAAAGATTAATAAAGAGCCCTGGAACATGAAGCACATGCTTAAGGTGAAGAGATGAATTCACGTTGGTGTTACCACATCCAGTAATGGGAGTTTGGGATCCATTAACAACAGTGATATGGTGTTTGTTTGGTAAAGTGGAATATGAAGATAAATGTGAGATGTGAGGTGTCATGTGATCTGTAGCACCGGAGTCAACAATCCAACAATGATTAGTACTCAAAGCATAAAAAAATAAGAAGGTAGAATTCTTACCAGTCATTGTTAGAGAACAATTACGAGAGGGTTTACTCAAGGAGTCCATAAGTGCTCTTAGGCGCTCAAGTTTTGCTTTGTTAAGGCCGGTGATATCTTCTGTGGGTGACCTAGGAGGATTGCCTTCAATTTCCACGTTAGAAACTGTGTGATTTGCACGTCTCTGAACAATAGTTTTGGACCCACTTATACGTCCAAGGACTTTATCCCTTCCATGCAGTTTGAAACACATGTCCTTTGTATGACCATATTTTTTTTACAATAACTGCACTATCGGTCTTCACGATTGGACTTCAAAAAAGGGCCTCCCAAAGTGGATCCTTGTATGGAACCCTTTTCGGTGGCTAAGGCTGAACCATGAATTGTTTTCTCTTTCATCATCACTGACCTCCTACTTTCTTCACCACGAACAGTGTGAAAGACTTCTGAAAGAGATGACAGTTTCTTATTACCCAAAATTTGAACTCGAATGGGATCAAATTCAGAGTTGAGCCTAGAGAGAAACTTAAATATCCGTGTTCTTTCAATAAATTGGGCTAGTGCAGTAGAGTCTTTATCACACTTCATTAAACTTTGATACTGATCTAATTCGATTCAAAGACCATTTAGAGTGCCATAATAGTCAGTTACAGAGAGAGTTCCTGCTTAGTATTAAAGACTTTATTTTCAAATTCAAAACATGTTGAGAGATCTTGTTTCATGGAATATGTTTCTGCTAGATTCTTCCAAATCTCCTTGGCAGTTGCGAAAAGCATATAATTCCTACTAACCTCGGGAGTCATAGAGTGCCAAAACCAGGTCATAATGAGAGAATCTTCATCAACCCATGTTTCATAGTGTGGATCTGTCTCAGCAGGGGCTTTGCCTTCGATGTTACTAATCTTTTTGCATCCTCTAATAGCGGTACGAACAAGCTAGGCCCATTGAAGGTAGTTGCGCCCATCTAACCGGTATGAACCTTGCAATATCGGAAGGTCATTGTGGGTCAACGGTGGAAGAGAAAGAGTCTTTTCTTCGAGATCAAACATAGTTTAGGAAGAGAATACCACACTAGAAAAGTGGCAGTATCAAAGAAGGGAAAAAACACCTCTGGAACAGAACCTGGAGGAGCAGCCTTCTGGCAGTAATTGTGTGATGAAAAAAACTTTTTTGTGTGTGTTTGTGTGCAGAAGCAGAGCCCCTAGAACCGGAAGCTCTGATACCAACTTGAACAATAGAGTTTTATTGATAGATTGAAAATACAACAACTAAATACAATTTTTAGGCCTAGGCTAACTTAATAAAGGAAAGAGTAATTATGTACACGATCTTCTAATTAATACAAATCTCCTACTTGATTCTAGGAAATCAGATTATGATCAGGAGGAAATCAAATTATGATCGGGACAAATCTCATAATAATCAATTAAATATTCTAATATCTCTACAGTTTTCATTCCTGTACAAGGGACTTATGACACCTTTCCTGCTCCTCTCACAAAATGATTTGTTATTGTTTGAAATTGGTTTCAGTTAATCACACATTAGCGTAATTAAGTGAGTGGTTTACTGAACGTGAAGTTATTTGCTGAATCTTCTCCTAAAGAAGAGAAAATTATTTCCACCCCAATAGAACTTTTTAGGAAGCCTTGTATTATTATTACTATTATTAATTATTCTTATGTATGTTGTAGGCAGCTTCTTAATTAGCAATCCCTTTTATAAGTATTCACATTCTGCTTTAGGCAACTTCTTAATTGCAATTATTGCCTTTTATAATCAAGACTCTTTTAAGATTTAATAGCTAGGGTTGTGCATGCATGAATTTACATGAAATTGGCTCATTTGTTCGTAGCTGTAGGCAATGGTTCATTTTGGTGGGATGTACAATTGTAAATATCGCATGTGTCATCCATCATCTTTCAACTTAAACTTTTTTTTTTGAAGAAGTATCACTCATTCAACCTAGCGAATCTCGCTGTATGTGGTTCAATGAGGAAAAAGAGGATTAATGAATTAACACTAACAGATCAAGTTTAACTCATGGCAGGTGGCTGTGGAGCATGTGTAGTCCTTCTCTCAAAGTATGACCACATGAATGAACGAGTAGAAAATCACACAGTCAGCTCATGCCTCACCCTCCTTTGCAGTATAAGTGGTTGTTCAGTTACAACAAGTGAAGGCATTGGAAACACTAAGCATGGCTTCCACCCAATTCACCAAAGATTTGCCGGTTTCCATGCTTCTCAATGCGGCTTCTGCACTCCCGGATTGTGCATTTCACTGTTCTCTGCTCTTCTCGATGCTGACAACCACCTTCATCGGCCCGACCCCCTGCCGGGATTCTCCAAGCTAACTGCCTCTGAAGCCGAAAGGGCAATTACAGGGAATCTTTGCCGTTGTACTGGATATCGTCCTATAGCTGATGCTTGCAAGAGTTTTGCATCTGATATTGATATCGAAGATTTGGGTTTCAATTCTTTTTGGAAAAGGGAGGACAAAGATATCAGGGAAGTGAAAATAAAAAAATTGCCATTTTATTACCCAAGTAGCAATATCTGTGTATATCCTGAATTTTTGAAAACTGAATTCAAGTCTGCTATTCAGTTGGGCTTCCAAAGACACCCTTGGTATTCCCCTGTTAGTTTGGAGGAGCTACAAGGCTTGTTGGGCAGTAAAATAGCTGAAAACGGTGAACGCGTTAAGCTTGTTGTTGGTAATACTGGAACAGGCTATTATAAAGAACGTGAAGAATATGACATATACATTGACCTTAGGCATATCCCAGATCTCTCGGGGTTTAAGAGGGACAGCATGGGAATTGAAGTTGGATCCGCTGTTACCATATCTAAACTGATATCGATCTTAAGAGATGCACCTAAAGATGATTCACACTCATCAGGCGAGATCATCTTTAAAAAAATTGCTGACCATATGGAGAAAATTGCTTCAGGTTGAATAATATTGAGCTACTACTTGTATTGATATGCCTTTTTAATAATAACTCATAATTTCACAAGACTATCTGGTCTATACCCAATGGGAATAGGGAAACAAAGCCTTAGACCTAATGGGAACAGAAAATTGTACTAAAACTAGGATTACTTTAATTTATATAATTTACTACCTTCTGTACTTTAACTCAGGCTTCATTAGAAACACGGCTAGCATTGGGGGTAATTTGGTTATGGCACATAAGAATTGGTTCCCGTCTGATATATCTACTGTGTTTCTTGCACTGGGGTCAAGTGTTACTATAATGACAGCTGCCAAACGTGAGAAGCTCACACTGGAGGAGTTCTTGGATCGACCAGAGTTTGACTCGGCAAGGACCGTGCTACTAAGCGTGTGGGTCCCGTTTTGGACACCAATGAAAACTGGTGGCCACACATTGCTTTTTGAATCATACCGGGCCTCACCCCGGCCCCTTGGAAATGCATTGGCATATGCAAATGCTGCCTTCTTGGCTGACGTTAATCTGACCAAAAATGGGTATTTGGTAAACTTTATTCATTTGGCTTATGGAGCGTTTGGGACAAAACATGCAGTCCGGGCAAGAAAGGTTGAGGATTATCTAACGGGGAAAATAATAAATGTCAATGGTTTGTATGAAGCAGTTAAACTAGTAAAGGTAACTGTGGTTCCTGAAAGGGGAACAACTTACCCTGAGTTCCGATCAAGCTTAATTGCTGGTTTTCTTTTCAAGTTCTTTCATGGCTTCATTGGTGTTGATCCTGCTTTTGTTGAAGATGAGTCAAAAGTAAGTAATTACAATAAATACTTTTGTGTAAGTGACAAACAAGCGTTGATATCCTCTGCAAAGCAGTCTGTGGAATACACTAAGGAGTACTATCCAGTGGGTGAACCGATAACAAAATCCGGAGCTGCCATCCAAGCTTCTGGTTAGTACTTTGTGATGCTCTTTATGATATGTCATTACTCTCTGACTCTCTGTTGATAGTAATCTCATGTTTTATTCACTGATTTGAGTCTGTCTGTTTTTGTTAATGCTATCTAATGAGAGGTTTATTTCTTAATGGATCTTCACAATCAGAAGACAAAGGATTTGTTCTGAACAAAAAATAAAAATCAACGGGGTAAACCGTTGCCCAGATAATCAACGATAAAAACCGTTGCCCAGAGCTAGGGTGATAGAACCTGGTAGTAATCGATGTAGAACAGTAGCGATTCTAAGAAATCAGGCTAAGAACAGATCGAAAGTGTTTATTGAAGTAGATAGAAATTGAAATAGGTGTACAGTGCTAGGGACGATTCGAGATGCCCGGTCTCCAAGACCTAAGTCCAACCTAATAACAGCCTCCTTCATCCGTTGTTAACCCATCTATTTATAACCAATATCCACTGTAATACTCGAGATTAATTTAACAGGATTAATAGTACTACTCATACCAACAAGGTGCATCTCCTTTTAAGGGAGCTCATTTATTAAGAACTCCAAAGTTAAGCGTGCTTGCACGGGAGTAGTCTTGGGATGGGTGACCCCTGGGAAGTTTCTCACGAGTGAGGACAAAGTGCGCGGAAAAGGTTTGTGGAGGTTTGTGAGGACAGTACTAGAGGTCTGGAGGGTATTTGGAGTAACTACCTCGGGGCCTGCGGGGCCGGGGTGTTACAAGTGTTATCAGAGCAGGGGAATGATTCCAGGATATGATTGAGATTGAATTAGTTTATGGGCGCAACGAGGACATTGCGATCCTAAGTGGGGGGTGATTGTAATACTCGAGATTAACTTAACAGGATTATTATTATTATTATCATCATCGTCATCGTCCTCGTCCTCGTCCTCGTCCCCGTCCCCGTCCCCGTCCCCGTCCCCGTCCCCGTCCCCGTCCCCGTCGCCGTCGCCGTCGCCGTCGCCGTCGCCGTCGCCGTCGCCGTCGCCGTCGCCGTCGCCGTCGCCGTCGCCGTCGCCGTCGCCGTCGGCGTCGCCATCATCATCATCATCATTTCTTATTAATAGCCTACTAAACCCAGATTCCTATCATAGCGTTGTTAACGAATCGAGCTTTTATCAAACTATTTGAGTTCGAGCTCTGTTTCGAACCTAACGAGCCGAGTTTAACGAGCTTAACGAGTTTTCGAACAGAAAATAAAAATCAACGGGGTAAACCGTTACCCAGATAATCAAAGATAAAAACCGTTGCCCAGAGCCAAAAGGCTGAAATCCAACTTTATTCCAAGATAAGCAAGAATGAGCCCTGGCAAGGAGTATAAATAGCCTTCTAGAAGGGACTCAAGAGAAACCCTAATTGAGCCCAAATTAATTAAATCCTAATTAAGCCCATACTAGCTCTACTAAATACTCTACTAATAATAAGCCCAAACTAAAAACATAACATAAACTCTATAATAATAAATGAAGCTATAATCCCAGCCCATAACTGGCCCGCGGAAGTGTGCCCAAGCCCGTTCCCGCCCCATGCTCTTCTTGCTCTCTATCAGGATTTCGAAAAAGATCTCAGCTTTCTCTGTTTATTTATACTAATAACCCTCTTATTTTACAAATATAACAACTTTCATTTTGTTTTTAAAATTTAATATGTTGTTTTGTTTTTACACTTAACAACTTTGTTGAATAGTAGGTTACATGAATATGTGATGAAGATGTTTAGAGTAGAAGAAAAACTGTAGAGAGAAAACTGTTCTACATGTCTGAATGGTACATATAAGAGAATATATACTAGGGTACTAGGGTTTAACTAATAATAGGAATAACCCAAATTGTTCTTATATTGTTAAATATTTACAACTTATTGATAACATTATAACACTCCCCCTCAAACTGGAGCATACATATCATATGTTCCAAGAAAGTTGCGAAGTATCCCAACTTAGCCCATCCAACATCAGTATAGCCTTGAATCTCAGTATGTCAACACTTTTTGTACACCAGGTCGAAATGGCTTTCTCAAGATATGACAGAATAAGCACAACCGCTTCTAGATGTGTTGTCTGAGGATAATTCAAAAATCGACTCACAACACTAGTGGCAAAAGAAACATCTGGGCGAGTAACACAAAATATATTAACTTTCCTGCTAATCTTCTATAATGTCCATGATCATCAAGGAAACCCCCAGTTTCCTCATCAAGATTAGAATTTGGATCCATTGGGTTGTCAATCGGTTTGTACTCTAACAACCCAAAAAATATTAGAAGGAACCAAGGTTTTTAACATGCCAATAATATCCTGAAAAATGCTATTGTCACACTTTTGTGGCACAAATTTGACACACTATAAATATTTTACATCTTTACCATTCTAATTTTACATTCTACCCCATTCCATCCCTACCCTCTCCTTCTCTTCTCTCTCTTTCCATCCTTATGGTCTTCTCTCCCCCACTCCCTATTCTTTTTTCTTTTTCTCTTCCATTTTCATCACCTTCACATCATCATCATCTTCACCATCTCCATCATCTTCCACTTCAATCTACCTCACTATATTCATCTCTTCACCATCTTCCATATCCATCACCATCATCATCATCATCATCATCATCTTTACTCTTATCATCTTCTAGGATCGGAAAAAATGGAGTTTGAGAGTCACTGGAAAAAAATGTCTATATACAAATTGGTTTTTGAAAAAATGTAAAAGTGCACAGACAAAGACATTGGTTTTTATACAAAGAAACTTCGAAGTTTCTGCAAAATGGCACACAAACTAATGTCTGCATATAGACAGACGATACACATATAATGTCTATACCTGGACATAGACAAAAAATGTAAAAGATATCTGTGTACAGACAAGTAATGTATGTATACAGATATTGGTTTGTGTGCTGTTTTGGAGACACGTTAGAGTTTGGTTGCACGAAAACCAATGTTTGTTTTCTATGCACATACAATTTTTTTATATTTTTGTCCTATGTAGCACCGATACGGGTACGCGGAAACGCGTACGGGGATACGACAAAACAAAAAAAAAGTAGGATACGGATACGGGGCCATATTTTTAAATATTAAAAGCACTGTTCTAAAAATCAGCCTAGGCGGACCGATTAATCGGCCTAGGCGGCCTAGTCGGCCCTAGCTGTAGAGGACTAGTCGGCCTAGTCGGTCAAAAAGTCGGCCTAGTCGGCCAAAAAATCGGCCTAGTCGGCCACCTAGGCGCTAGGCGCCCCTCAACCGCCCAACTAGCGCATAGCGAGTTTTAGAACATTGATTAAAAGTAGCTTACAATCTGCCTGAAGATTGTAAGCTGCACCCAGTTTTTCATGTTTCATTGTTGAAGAAAATCGTGGCCCCTAATATTCCTACTCAGCCTCTACCGTGATGCTTAACTGAGGATTGCGAACTTCAAACACAACCAGAACATGTGTTGGATGCTAGGGAGAACCCCAATGGGAGTTAGGAGATACTAGTTCACTAGAAGGATTTGCCTACTTTTGAAGATTCTTGGGAAGGGTTGTCAGAGTTCCAATCGTTGTTTCCCAATTTCCACCTTGGGGACAAGGTGAGTTTTAAAGGGGGAGGTAATGATGAGAGCCCATGCCTTCTGAAAATTAATCCAGACAAAGATTTTTCCAGAGTTTACACTAGGATGAATAAAAGGGTCAATCAATCAATCATCATTTACCCCAGTGCCGCAAAGGCTTCCACCTACGGTGGGGTAAGGGGGGTTGGGTGTACGCAGTCTTACCCCTGTACTAAAGCACAGAGAGACTGTTTCCGGATGACCCATAATGAAAAACGCGTCCAAAATGGGTAAAAGGGTAAAAGGATGAATAAAAGGGTAAATGGGTAAAAGAATAATTAAAAAGGGAGAAGTGGTGGCAGTTTCTTGTGGAAAGAGGAAATAAAAGGGGTGCGGAGTAGGGAGAATGGGCAGTCTGGAATTGGGTAGTTTGTTTGGAGAGTGGGGCCCTCTCTGATGGCTTCCAGATTGTAATTTCCTTCTCTGCAAGTTATCATACATTTCCTTGTTCGCTCTGAGATGTTTTCGGATCTAGAGTTTGATATTTCCAGTAATATATGGTATATATTTTGCTGGAGTGTTGGTTCTTTTCATGAAATGGCCTTGGCGATTGTTTTTTGTTTTCAGGTGAAGCTGTTTATGTAGATGATATTCCATCTCCACTGGACTGTCTATATGGAGCATTCATTTATAGTACACGACCTTTTGCAAGGGTAAAAGGCATCAATTTTAAGTCTAATTTACTACCAAATGGGGTAGTCGATGTTATGACTTTCAAAGATGTCCCTAGCCGAGGGGAAAATATAGGGGCTAAAACCATGTTTGGCCCAGAACCTCTATTTGCTGATAATTTTACCAGATGTGCGGGTGATCGAATTGCTTTTGTGGTGAGCCGTATTTTCCTTCCCCTTATTTTTTTTCCATCAAAGGTTGAGTTTCTGCGATATCTACTTCATATTAAGAATCTCACATTGAAAGATTTAAGAGGGATAGATGTACTTATAAGGTCTTGGGTTAAACCAACTAGGCTAGGCGCATTATGACCCAGTTTAGTGACAGCGGTCCTGTTATTAATTCTCTAACTTAACTAGCATTTCTTCATGAGAAAACTGTCTAAAATACATATTAAGCTGTATTTTTGTGTCAACTATGCACTTTTTACTTCACCAGGTTGCAGACAGTCAAAAGCATGCAAATACAGCAGCAGACATGGCTATTGTTGAGTATGACACTGAAAATTTGGATCCTCCTATCTTAACAGTTGAGGATGCTGTTAAGAAATCAAGCTTTTTTGAAGTCCCTTCAATCATATCCCCGAAAGGTGTTGGTGATTTTTCTAAAGCAATGGCCAAATCAGAGCACAAGATTATCTCAGCAAAGGTAGTGATTTCTATTATTCTGTCTGTCTAACTTTATTCATTGGTCAGATCATATTATCTTTCTTAACTTATTTTCTCTAATGTTCTTTAATCATTTTCATGTCATCACTAATTTTATTGTACTTCTTTAAATATGAATTTTTTCCATCATTTGCCATGGAGCCAAATACTCACTATTTTTTGGCTTGGGAATATGATGAAATAAAGCAAAATGGTTTACTAAACTGTTTGCGCTTCTTTGTTATGAAGCAACAGTCAATCCATGTAATTTTCGACGCGATTTTCACTATGTGTCATCCGTAAGCAGTCTTTTTGTGCTTTAGTACAAGGGTAAGATTGCGTACATACGACCCCCTTACCCCACCGAAGGTGTGGGAGCCTTTGCGGCACTGGGGTAATGATGATACAACAACAACATCCAAGCCTTAGTCCCAAAAGATATTGGGGTTGGCTAATATGAATCGATACATGATGTCACCACCAAAAGAAAAAGAAAGAAAATAAAAATAAAAAGATACTATAAAAAGGGATGGATATACCTAAAAATGATAAAATAAAAAGGATAAAAATAATGTTTATATATATTAGGATAAAAGGATAAAAACAAGAAAAAATATGAGGGGAAAAGATAATACGAGTTCACTCCTCCACACGAATACCCGCTGTTAGGTACAGGCAAATATGGCGATGAATTGTTGAAAATGAACCTGAAATTGAAGAAGTGAAAAGAAACGATACAGTTGAAGGCAAATTCGAGAGTGCCCTCGGTCTTTCCCAGGTCCCAGTTCAGATACCAAGTTCTGCCTAACCTCCTTATTCTACTCCCCTCTTATTTATAATAAATTCCCTTATGGGCCGGCCCAAGCTAACTACCACCTAGCCCAAACCCTTATTTATACAATATCACACCCCTTAGTCTAATTCTACTATTATTATTAATCTTGGAAGTCCATGTCCCTATCATATCTCCCCCCTTGAAAAACCACCTTGTCCTCAAGGTGGGTGATAGGACACGGCCTTGATCTTGAACTTCATCTTCATCCTGGAGCCTCTTCCTTCCCAGTATCTCACTGTTTGCTGGACAAGGAGCTTCCATACTTGAATCTTCCTCGTCACTTCATTCACCTCTGATCTTCTACATAGGGCATCAAAATCTCCAGCTATATTGTTCTGCTTAGCCCATTTTTCCACTGCTGGTTGGTTTGATTTAGTAACATTTACTAGAGTTGTCTCCAAGCTACTTCCAGATTCTGCATCCATAACCGCAATGACGTTGTCCAGTGTAACAATGTCATCTTCAGCCGCCTTTTGGGTACACCCAATAGCATCCCTCCAATCAACTTCCATTGAAAGACTCCACCAAAACCTCTCTGCAACTTCACGTTCCCAAGTCGTAGAGTTAACTGTCACTTGCTTTCTTGGAAGGACGAGTGGGAAACCGTGGACTAGCTTCCAGAGGGAACAATCTTTGCTGGTGTCATGCCAAACAGAGAAAAAACAACAACTTGTTGTACAGAAAATGGAAACAACATTTTCAGTCCCCACATTAATATGGTAGTTACCCATAAGTGTGAAACTTGAACCTGACAAAACCTGAACCCCACCACACAAAAAGGCAGCTGCAATTACACCTCCATGAACAGGATAAACCATCCGGTTAACGGTTCCAACATCGCTTGGATGATAAAAAGGATCAAATGTGACCTTCATTGTTATCTCAATATTAAGGTCAGAAACAGTTCGCATATCAGGCATTGATATAAGGCTTTCTGCGGCTTTCTGTGCAGCTTGTAAGGCTTGTTTCTCTAGCTTTAGTTTCTCTTCATTGTGAGCATTCATAATGATATCTTGATCCCATACACTCTGAATCCCATTTGCATAAAAAAACTCGTCAATATCCAATTTTCTTCCACTACTTCATCATTGTTGTTATGAGCTTTCTCTATCTCTTTGCCATTGCTTCCTGAGTCGTTTTCTTTTCCAACAGCAGAGTTCTGATGTGCTGTCTTTGTTAGAGTATATGTAGCCAGTTCCAGGTCAGGGTGTTGAGACCCAGTAATATCTATATCCTCATTTAACTGTGTTAGGGACCTATAGAAAATATTAATAATTAGAATAAGTCATAATAAGGTCTCGGGGTTAGTTAGTTGTCATAACTATAGTACCTGCTGGCAGTTACATAGCATACTATAAATAGAGGTAGAAGGGATTGTAAAAGGGAGCTGAATTTGAATTGTAAAGTGTAGCCCCTAACTGTTGCCTAGGCCGATGGCCATTGTTACCTTTTCTTGAATAAGAAGTTGCCTTGAGTTCTTTGATTCCCTTGTGTATTGTTAGATTGATCTTGCAGGATCTAACATTGGTATCAGAGCCTTCGTTCACTGTGGATGGTAGTGACGCGCGCAAAGATGGAAGCCAGAATAGAAGAATTGGAAAAATCGCAACAAGAGACGAGGGATATGTTCGCGGCTCTTCAGGCGTCGATCGCCAGATGGGAAGCGAGAGGAGGGAGTCGATCGCGTAGCAGTTCGCACGCTTCGCATCGATCTTCGCATCGATCATCGCCTCGTACGACACATCATCATCATCACAAACAACGATCATCTGACAGTTCTTCCGAAGGATCGGAAGATAATTTGGAGTTCGATCAACCCAACAGGCAACGCCAGCATCAACCGACACACAGAAAGGTTGAACTACCAATCTTCAACGGTGAAGACGCTTTTGGGTGGTTGGTCAGGATCGATCGTTATTTCAGACTCAACAATGTTGGAGAAGAAGAGAAAATTGAAATAGCAGTTGTCTCCATGGAAGGTAAAGCTTTAGGTTGGATACAATGGTGGGAGAAACAGGCCAGAGAAAGAACTTGGGAGAAGCTAAAAAAGGCTCTGATTCGCCGATTCCAACCGGAGTTGATACAAAACCCTTTGGGCCCATTATTGAGTCTGAAACAGAAGAATTCTGTGCAAGAATACAGAGAACAGTTTGAATCGGCCATCGCGTCTCAAGAATATTTGGACAGGAAGGTGATGAGAGCCATTTTCTTGAATGGGTTAAAGAAGGACATTCAGGCTGAACTGAAACTGTTTAAAACCAAAGATCTTGGGAAGATTATGGATAATGCACAGTTAATTGAAGGCAAGAATGAAGAAATTCTGCTAAGGAGACTTAAGGAAGAAGGAAAGAGATCCTGGAAGAGTATAGCAACTAGAGGATCAAATTTCCAGAAATGGGGAGATGGAACTAAAAGTCACCACACAGTTAACCAACCTTCAGGTAAAGACATGGTGGATAGTAAGAATGGGGAAAATGGTGAAGCCTCTACTTCAAAAAAATTGGGCCCTAGACTGTCCCACAATGAGCTCATGGATAGGAGTAAGAAGGGTTTATGCTTCAAATGTGGAGAACACTGGAACAGAGGGCATATTTGCAAGATGAAACATTATAAAATGGTGTTGATGGAGCAATCTGAAGAGGGGACTGAATCTGAGATGGATAACAGCAGTGCAGAAGAAGACTTGGAGGGACCTCACCCTGAACTCAAATCACTGCAATTGTCTGTGCTCAACAATAAAGGTATACAGTCTTTGAGAACTTTTAAAGTAATGGGAATACTAAGCTGGCTTTCAGGAGAGAAACCAGTAAATGTCCTCATTGATTGTGGAGCTTCCAACAATTTTATTTCACAGAAAGTAGTGGATGAGTATAAAATTCCTTTCCAGCAAATCAAAGGTTATAAGGTCCAGACTGGTAATGGGGAGTACATTTCCAATAATGGCAGATGTATGGGGCTGAAACTAGAGGTTCAAGGGAGTGTAATCCAACAAGTTTTCTACATACTAGAGCTAGGAGGGATAGAATTGGTGCTAGGCATGGAATGGTTAACTCAATTGGGAAATATGGCAATCAATTTCAAACACCAGTCCATCATGTGGAAGCAAGGGAATCAGATTTGCTCCATAAAAGGGGATATACTTCTGAATGAAAAAGATGTTTCTAACACAATCAATGCGCAGATTCTGCACCCAACTATGGAGAGGTATCTACTGTATGGTGAAGAGAATGAGCAGGGGCAGAACATGGAACAAGAGACTTTTGATCTTAATATCCAGCCCACGAAAGAAGCTGACTTTGTATCTTCATTCACAATTGGTGGTTCAGTTCCCAGGTTGCTTCACAATAGCAGGGAGGTTCAGGAAACACCTGTGAATTGGCAAGACAGAATGATGAAGTTTCTCTTTCAGAAATTTGTGAAATATTGGGAAGGCAGGAGCGCTAGGATGAAGAAGAAAAAGGATCTTGTGGCTGCTACCTTTCGTCCACCTTGAGGGCAAGGTGGATGTTCAGGAGGGGAGATTTGTTAGGGACCTATAGAAAATATTAATAATTAGAATAAGTCATAATAAGGTCTCGGGGTTAGTTAGTTGTCATAACTATAGTACCTGCTGGCAGTTACATAGCATACTATAAATAGAAGTAGAAGGGATTGTAAAAGGGAGCTGAATTTGAATTGTAAAGTGTAGCCCCTAACTGTTGCCTAGGCCGATGGCCATTGTTACCTTTTCTTGAATAAGAAGTTGCCTTGAGTTCTTTGATTCCCTTGTGTATTGTTAGATTGATCTTGCAGGATCTAACAAACTGACTGCAGACACTAGATGTTTCTGTAGAGCCATTTTCCCCATCCTCCTCTCTTTTCTTGAGTATCTTGATCCACTTACCAGCATTAACCATATGAAGCAGGTAGCCAAAACCTACAGCCCCCACTTGAACATGTATACAAACTGCTGGCAGCCCCTTAACATCTTCATCCACAATTATGGCATCTGGGAAGAGACCGGGAAAGAGATCTTTGACCCGCCTCAGATTCACGTCCGCTTCAACGTCAGTAACATATCCAACATGGTGAGTGCACATCATAGAAGTAACACCATCTAATCGTAAGCCATCAATACCCATAGCTCCTCTATTGGAACCAACGTACACATAATGACATGATCCTGA